GCTAATCAGAGTTTTGCTGTCGACTTTGGGGGTGGGTGGGGGGGTCTTGACACGGTTTGCTCCTAATGCACAGCTCTCCAATGAAGAGAAGGGCGAGGGGTGGTATAACTGTCCCCCAGTATTTGAGGGGCTGTCAGAGAGGAGGAGGAGGAGGAGGAAGGGAGTCCAGCTATTCTCCACAGCCACCGGAAGGCAGGACAAGAAGCAACGGATGGAAAACGAATCCCGGGGAGATCCAGTTTAGAACTGAGGAGAAACTTCCGAACAGGGAAGGGACAATTAACCAGCGGAAGTGCTTTTCCCCAGAAGTTGTGGGTGTTTCGTGACCGGAGGCTTTTAAGAAGAGTCTGGACAGTCCCTTGTCTGAAAGGGTAGAGGCTCTCCTGTTTGAGCAGGGGTTGGACTAGAGAACCTCAAGGTCCCTTCCAGCTCTATCCTGATGGATTGACGCCACCTCAGTTAAAAATCCCCGCACTCACTGGCATCCTGGAGGACCAGCCTTCCGACAGATCGCACGCAAACCCTTCCTTGCCGGCATAACTCTCATTCGCACATGGAGGGTCTGACCTGATCCGACCAGGCCATTTTCCTACCAATGACTTCCTTCTTTCTCCCTGGGAAAAAAAAAAAACGCCTTGGTTAGTTGGTTGGTCAAGTCAGCCAACGTGGGGAGGGGGTGAAACGAGGGGGTTGGAGCAGCTTGGAAAGACCAGCGTTTTTTCATTTTGCAGAGCGGACAAGACTTTAGAATCCTTTGGTGCAAAACTCATTCAATACCCGTTGATGCTCACGGGAGCGATACGGTGGCAAACAAAGGAAGAGGATTGTGGGATTCTCCCCCTCCCCACCCATCCAGGCCATGAGGACATTTGAGGAGGGGGCTTATTTCTGCCTGAGGCCCCCCCACCCCACTCCGTGCAGTGGTGGTGGTGGTGGGGGCTAGTCAGCTTGTTGGAAAGCATCCCAGCCCCTGCAACCCGCCTTGCGAGCTGTTTCTGGCCAGGCTCCACCAAGCTAACTTTAGAACAGAAACATTCCTGCAGCCTAAATGGAACCATGGAGCAGCCAGCAATTTTTTTGGGTGGGTGGGGGGGTAGGGGAAGGGCTGGGAGCTAGCTGGGAATGGTTTGCAAGGGTTTTTCACCCTCCTGCCCTGTTTTTCAAGGCCCTGTTTGGGGCCTTGGGTCAGAGGCCCTCATCAGCAGGGACCTTCCAGGTTGCCCTTTTGCAGGTGGCAAAAGTCAAATTGCAAAGATTTCACAGCTGTTTTTCTCTCTTTGGTTCCCTCAGGAGCTGAGGTAAGGCAAGTGGGGGCCCGGGGGGCGGGGTCAGAAAAGTCAAAATGGCTTCCCTGTGATCCAAGTGCCAGGCTTAGCAATCTGAGAGTGTATTTTCTTACTTTTATTTTTTATTTTTAAAATAGATTGAATAAAACGTGGTTTTATCGAAAGGCAGTTCACAAAAACTTTCTCCTAAAATTGGTTAGGCGCTTTCCGGATTCCCAATTTTAAAAAAAAGATCCGGGCTCCCTGCCCCCGTTTTTATCCCACGTCAGGATGTCCAACAGGCCGCAGCAATTTCTTATCTGCAAACAGGACTTATTACCTTTAGGTATTAAGCGGTTTTGTCTCTGTTTTTCCTCATCATGGATTCTGTAGTCTCCATCGTGAACCAGCTTGCGTGGCCAACAGCGACCCCCAATGTCCAGCCTGGGAATGGCAGGGGATCCAAGAAGTTCCCCCTTCCTAGAAGCTATAAATTTATATAACAATGGCAGATTTTCAAGTTTCTCACACGTCTTCATCGAGCGAGGCAACGAAAAGTGTGTCTGTGAGAGGACGGAGATAGAAAGGGGGATAAGGGACACGGATAGTGGAAGAGATTTTTTTTGCCAGGGCTTTTTATCTCTTCAGAGCAGAGTTTTCCAACTTTGGCAACTTTGCGGACTTCAAACTCCCAGAATTGGTTTCCACTGTGTGCCCGGTGGAAAATGAGCTCAAACCAGGCCAATTCATGTAAAACTCACCCAAGAGCTTTGCTTGCTTGTGTCGGTTCATCCGTTGCAATCTACAGTTTAAAATTTGCTATCAGCGACCTTTTGGTTTCCAAGTGCGGTAAGACAGAACAATAGGATGATAGTAGAACGATAGACAGATGAATAGGGTGAATTGATAGGATGAATGTACATAGATAGACAGAGATATGCGTGATAGACAGATGAGAGAGAATATAGATAGAAAGATGATAAAGGTAGATAGATGATTGACAGAGTGAATAGAGTGAATAGATAAAGCAAATGAACAGACATAGACTCAGAGACGTGATAGATAGATGAGAGAGAGAATAGAGAGATGTATAGTGGGTGAATAGATAGATAGAAAGATGAGATAGATAGATAACCGTGTTTCTCCAACAATACGATCTCCGCCAATAGGAAGGCCCAGCATGTTTCCTAGGCATAAAATGAAATTAAGCCCCTCCCCCCAAATTTAGGCCTATTTTAAAACATGCAAAATGGAGAGAAGGGCGGGGGGACTTGCCGTTAGGAGCGCCCCGCGGGCAGCAATTCCTCGCCACCAGCTGCTCCTAATGGGCGATCATGGCAGAGCGCGGAGAGCTCCCAACTCCTGCCAAGCACCTTTGCGGCAGACCCAAGATCTTCAGCGCCCGCCTTCTGCCCATGCTGCCGCCGCGTTTGGAACTGCCACTTCCACGTTTGGAGCACTGCCGCTGTTTGGAGCACCAGCGCCGTTTGGAGCGCCGCCGCCGTTTGGAGCGCCGCCGCCGTTTGGAGCGCCGCCGCCACTCCAAACATGGCAGCAGCTCCAAACGCGGAAGTGGCAGCTCCAAACATGACAGCGGTGCTCCAAATGGCAGTGGCACGCCAAACACGGAAGCGGCAGCTCCGAACGTGGTGGCGGAATGGGCAGAAGGGAAAGCAACCGTGGCGGGTGCCAAAGGTCCTTGGTCTGCAGCAAACGTGTTTGGTGGGAGTAGGGAGCTCTCTGCGCTTCGCCATGATCACCCGTGAGGAGCGGCTGGTGGTGAGGCTGCCCACGGGGCGCTCTAGTTGAGGATGCAAGGGGGGGAATTAAGTCACCCCCGAAAAGATGGCCTAGCCGTTTTGGGGGGGCTCAAAAAAATATAAGACCCGGACTTATTTTATGAGAAACATGGTAGATAGATAGATAGATAGATAGATAGATAGATAGATAGATAGATAGATAGATAGATAGATAGATAGATAGATAGAACAGACTGAAGATGGATGGTAGACGATGGATAGATGGATGGACCGATGGATGGACAGACAGATGATAGATGAAAGATGCTAGATAGATGGTAGAGATATATATGATGGACAATAGATGGATGGATGGACGGACGGACAGGCAGACAGAGAGATAGATGATAGAGATAGATAGATAGATAGATAGATAGATAGATAGATGACAGAGTGAATAGTGAATAGATAGAGAGGATGAATATACAGATAGACAGAGAGAGATGTGATAGATGAGATATATATATATATATAGTGGGTGAATAGATATAAAAACAGATCTTAGAGAAACAGACCACTGATTAATGAATAAATATTGACGTCTCCACTCACAGGGGCAGTGGGAGCTTCATTCAACTTCACTCACTATTAGAAGCTCACAGTTCCACAACGTTGGTGTTTTTAAGCTCTAAAGTCACCTCCCTTTACAGTATTATTGTGTTATTGTGTATTGCTTTATATTTATTTATAACTTTGTTATCTCAACAGCTTTCAAGCAGCTGCCATAAAAAAAAAGGGGGGGAAGGCCGAGAACAGTAAAATGGTGATAAAGGGAATTGGTGGCAGGCAGCTGTCCCTGACTCCAGAAGGCACCAGCTGTTGGGCCCCTATTGAGTGGCGATGCCACCACCCAGAATGCCCCTTGCTGCCCCATGGAGGGGGATCCTGGCCAGATCAGGCGACACAAGCCCTGAAAGAAAGACGGTGACCCTGCAGCTGTGACTTTCCGCGGCTGCCTCTCCAAATTCCCCCTGGAAGTTGGCAAGGAATTTACCCCTGCTTTTCACAGCCAACTTCCCCAACCTGGTGCCCACCGAGACTGTCTGAGACAGGGGTGTTCAACCTTGGCCACGTTTTGTGGACGAAGCCACGAGGGCAAAGCTGGGTGGGGAATTTGGGGAGTTGGAAGTCCATAAACCGACAGGGTTGGACCTCCCTGGTGTAAGAGAAGTGGAACCAGGGTTAAACAGTAACCAGGATAAGGAGGAAAGAGACCCATTGCCTGGGAAACCGGACCCCCCCCCCCCATGGGTCACAAGTGATGGGTGGGCAGATGCTGAACAGAGCAGGGCAGCCTCCTCCCCCAACCATCCTGGCTGAGCTTTATGGAATTGGGAGTCCAGGGTGGGGCCAATCCACATTCCAGTCCGCCTTGTGGCCTTCTTTGAATCCTAAGGGCGGGAAGGTCCCTGGGAGGTCTTCTAGTCCACCCCATGCTCAACCCTCATCCCATCCAGGACAAAAAGCTCGTCCAATCTTCGATGGAGCACCCCACTTTTTTTGGAGGGGGGGGAGGGGAGCGTCGGAGGGTCTCCCAGGGGCCCAACAAGGGAGATCCAAGCTGATGGTCCCATCCTGGATGGGAAGGAACTTGGGGGTGCGCGGGGTGTGTGTGTGTGTGAAGCAACTTCACTTGGGAGGGGCCCATCGGGGGAGAGCCCGGAGCTGCTTCGGGGCGCGGAGGATGCGCGGGATCCCAACCGAGCTGGAGGAGGGGGAGTGGGGGGGGGGGGCGGCAGATCGGGGCCGGGCGCAGCCTCGCCGGAGCGGGAGAGCGCCTGGCCGCAGGAGGAGCCCCGCCCCAAGGAAGGTGGAGGAGGAGGAGGAGGAGGAGAAAGCGAAGCGCAGAGGGGCGCGAGGGGGCCGGACGGGGAGGGGACCGGGCCGGAGGGAGGCGGGCAGGCAGGCGAGGGGGGCCGGACTCCCGCGCCCGAACATGGCCTCCTTCCCCGCCGAGCCTCCCGGCCGCGGCCCACCCGCCGCCCCGACGTCCGCGGCCAGCGGCGGAGCAGCGGAGCCGCGCCAACTTTCGCCAACTTCGCCGCCCGCCCCGTCCCGCGCCGAGCCCGGCGGCGCGGCTCCTCCCGCGGCGGCGGCTGCAGCATCGGCGGCTTCTCCTTCTCCTCCTCCTCCTCCTCCCGCTCCGGGGTGTCCAGCTCCGGCCGCCGCTCCGGCCGCCGGCCTGCCGCGCTTCTCGGCCGAGCAGGTCTCGTGCGTGTGCGAGGCGCTGCTGCAGGCGGGCGACCCGGGCCGGCTGGGCCGCTTCTTGGGCTCGCTGCCGGCCGAGGAGGCGTCGCGTCTGGAGGCGTCGGGCTCGGGCGAGAGCCTGGCTAAGGCGCGGGCGCTGCTGGCCTTCGAGCGGGCCGACTTCGGCGAGCTGTACCGGCTGGTGCAGAGCCGGCCTTTCGGGCCGCCCCACCACCCGTTCCTGCAGGACCTCTACCTGAGGGCGCGCTACCGGGAGGCGGAGGCGGCGCGGGGCCGGGCGCTGGGCGCCGTCGACAAGTACCGGCTCCGCAAGAAGTTCCCGCTGCCGGCCACCATCTGGGACGGCGAGGAGACGGTCTACTGCTTCAAGCGACGCTCCCGGGCCGCCCTGCGCGACTCCTACGGGCGCAGCCGCTACCCGAGCCCCGAGCAGAAGCGCCGCCTGGCCCGCGACACCGGCCTCTCCCTCACCCAGGTCAGCAACTGGTTCAAGAACCGGCGGCAGCGCGACCGAGGCGGAGGAGGCGGCGGCGGCGGCGGAGGAGCCGCGGGAGGAGGAGGAGGAGGAGGCACGCCCAGCAAGAGGTGAGGAGGAGGAGGCCCTCTGGGCATGGGCAGAGCGCCCCCGGGGTGGGGGGGCTGGAAGGACGCCTTGGGCGCGGCTGGCAAGGGACAGAGGTGGTAGAGCCTCCAGGGGCCTGTGCAGGCTACCCGGGCCCTTGCCAACGCCTTGGGTGCGGAGGGCCTGGGAGGTTGGACCCCCATAATCCCCAGCCAGGCCGAGGTTCGAAGCCTGGACGAGTTCCCCCCAAAATGGGATGGGGGATGCAGCCCTAAAAGTTGGGGGGGTCTCCAACTCCTGCACGTGTGAATCCTAAGCAGACCCCCCCCCAAAAAAAAAATCTGCAAGCAAGCTACAAACCAGGATGAAACTTCAACCTGATCCTTGGGGGCTGGGAGGGGTTTCACCATTTCTGCACGGGGGGAGGAGGACGAGACACCCCTGGAATCTGGGGAATGCAAGGGGGGGTGTTTTGGCAAAAGGGTTGCTGGGAGGGGTTGCTCCCCCCCGCCCCCCAAAAATGGCTCCTAGGCTAACAACCTGACCAGGTGCAAATTCCCAGCAACCCAAAAGGCAGCCAGACTGGCACAGGTGGTAGCTCCCTTCTGCCTCCCCACCCCCCACTTGCTTTGACCGTGTACACGTGCCAATGAAGGAGACACCCCCACACACACACCTCATCCCGGTCTGTCCCACCACCCATTTCACTTCCCTGGGGTTCCCGGACCATTTTTGGGAGTGCTGGAGACGAGTGAGCTGGCTTCCACTTCTTTGGAGTTAGCAGAACTTTCTGAGAGTGGGGGGGAGGGGGGGGGGGAGGGGGGGGGCAGAGGAGGTGGAGTACCTACTAAGGGAAGAGAATCTGTGTAGCTCAGGGTTGAAATGTGGGGGGGGCCTTGGGGGCCCCCGGGCCTTGGGGGGTGTTTCTTGCAGACGTTTGGTGAGCCGACTAGGTCAACATCCCCCCACTGCTCCGTTATATCAGCCTGAGGAGCCCTGATGAGGTTACCTAGTTGGGTCGTGAAACGTCTGCAAGGAAGCCACCAAGCTCAGAGGGCACCAAGGAGGCAGCCAATAATCTCTGCTGGGTCTTGGGACAGCTCAGAAGAACCTCAACGGGGACCCCGCCCGCCACATCCTTTCAAGGGAGCCGAAGTCCTGCCTCCGCTCTCTTCAGCCCACACAACGTGGAAGCCTCTTCTCCTTTGTTGTGAAATCTGAGTCCCAGGCGTTGGGTTTCGCTGGGCCTCCCGATCTCCTCCCTTCCCAGGCCAAGGGTGGAGACCCAGAGCCATCTCCTCCTCCTCCTCCTCCTCCTCCTCCTCCTCCAGATATCTGGTTGGCGGATCCACACCTCTTCCTCCAGGGTTGGGAATGCTTACAAACTATGGGCTGGGAGTGTGGAACCTCGGAGTAAGGCCAAAAGGAAGCGGTTAGGCTGTGGTTGAACATAGCCACGAGTTTTGACAGGCTGAGGGTGGGACCCACAGGAAGCCATCCACTCGTGAATTTGGGGGGACCGTGTTCTAGGACACGGGTCTCCCAACGCGGCCATTTTAAGACTTGTGGACTTCAGTTCCCAGAATTCCTCAGCCAGCCCATAAAACGGTCTTTCCATTTTCCTACACCAGGAGTATCCAACCTTGGCAACTTTGAAGACATAACAGATTGGGGAATTTGGGGAGTTGAAGTCCACAAGTTGCCAAGTTGAGAGACCCCCACCCCACCCCTGCTCTAGGAAAACAGAAAGGTGGTTTATTCAACCAGGGTTTGGACTTCACACACCGGAAAGAGGAGGGTTGAAGTTTCCATACTGCACCTGCATTGCTACTTCGATCCCTGCAGTTTAAGTTTATTTGTTTGTGTATTAAATGTACGTGCCATTTATCTTGGCGCTTTTCAGGTTGGCTGAAATATGGGATTATTTTTTTTAGCTGACGGCAAAACAGCTGAACTGGGCCGGCTACTATCCAAGGAAATTGGATCACATTTTGTTTATCGGTTGATATCCCGCCTTCATTATTTTTTATTAAATTAACTCAAGGCGGCGAACGTAGGTCACACGTCTTATTTCCCCCACTACAACAACCTTGTGAGCCCTGTTGGCCTGACCGTCTCCTGGTCACCGTCTCCCGGTTTCTAGAAATTCCCCGAAATTCCTTCTGAGGTTGGCAAAGAGAAGGGATTGACTCCAAGGGTGGAAGTTGGCCGCTGCGTCAGACGGAGCTCCCTGGGGCAGCTCCTCCTTCACCTCCTCGAGAAAAGTTGTAGGGAGAAAGTGAGCAGCTCGTTCCGGCCCAGAGAAACGGGGGTCCCTAAGTGATGCCCCTTCTCGGGGGTCCTAAGCGGTGGCAGGAATTTGGGGAGCTGCAGAGAGGTTGTCGGTTGTTTCTCCTGTACCCCAGAATTACGGCTGATCCTTGATTCGCTACAATTGAGCCCCAATTTTCTGTTGCTAACCAAGACAGTTGTTTAGATAAGATAAGATAAGATAAATTTATTGTCATTGTACTCAGAAACCTGAGAACAACGAAATAAGACAGTTTTGTCCCATTTTAGAACCTTTCATGCCACGGTTGTTAAGTGAATCCTTGCAGGGATTCAATTAGTAACATGGTTGTAAATCTGGCTTCCTTGTTGACTTTGCCCGAAGGTTGTAAAAGGGGATCGTGGGACTCCAGGACACTGGAACCGTCATAAATACGAGTCAGTTGCCAAGCATTGATCCCGTGACCTTGGGGCGGGGGGGGGGTTACAACAGTTGTAAGCATGATGGACGGGCATAAGTCACTTTTTCAGTGCCTTTGTCCTTTCTAACAGTCGTTAAGCGAATGGTTATAAGCCGAGGACTAGCTGTACTAGGGGATTTACCCTCTGACCTCTCCTGCAGTGAATCCGATGGGAACCCAAGCACAGAGGACGAGTCCAGCCGTGGTCCGGAAGAAATCGAAGCCGTGGGGGGCCTGTCCGCCAGCCACGAGGGCATCGCGGCCCCTGGCAGCCTCTTCCTCCCGGGGGCCTGCACCAGCGCCTCTTCCATCCTGTTGAATGGGAACTTCATCACAGCCAGCTCCCCGCCCGCCATGCTCCTCAACGGGGGCTCCGTGATCCAGACCCCCGCCGGAGGGGTGATCCTCAACGGGCTGACCCTCGGAGACAACCAAACCATCACCCTCAGCCCCGTGGCGGCTCCCAGCCCGCCCATCCTCCTGAACGGCTCTGCCGGCCTGCTCACCCCCAAGATGGAGGAGGTGGGCAAAGCCCCCCCGGAAACCCTCTCCCCGGCCACGCTCATCCTCAACCCGGCGGCTCTCCAGGGAGAGGTGAAGTCGGAGAGCGGCGTCAACCCGCTGGCGTTCGGGATGGACATGAAGTCAGAGGAGGGGCAGGGGGCAGTTCTCCCTCCCCTCCTGTCTCTCCCGGAGGCCTCCCCGCTCCTCTCCGAGCACAAGGGGGCGCTGTTGGCCACGGTGCCTATGCCCCAAGTGGTCCCTTCGAACGAAGAAAGCCCCGCAGTCCCCCTGTTGCCCGTAGCCCCTCAAGCGGCAGTGCCCCCGAGTCCACAGATTGTGCCACTCGCTAAACTGGTCCCTGTCGGTCAAGCTCTGGCCGCTTCCCAGGGAGGAGGGCCAGTGGGCGGCGGGCAGGGGTCCCCAGCGGTGGCATCTCCTGCCGTCACTGCCACCCCGCTCCTCTCTGTCCCTGGGTCCTCTACAGCCCCGGCCACTGTCCTCCACGTTTCTGCCCCATCCCTTCTCCCGCTCAGCCAGGTATCGCCCCCTTCGCAGGTGGTCCCCCTGTCCCAGGCGGTTCCCGGGGCCCAGCTGCTGTCTCCACCTCAGATGGTCCCCGTGTCCCCCACCCAGATCTACACCATGCCCCCCGGGGCTCCGGCACCTCAGCTGGTCTCCATTCCTCAGGTGGCGCAAGGCTCCCAGCTCATCTCCTTGCCCCAAGTGGTGCCCACCTCTCAGGTGGTGACTCTGCAACAGGGCGTGGGCAGCCCCATCCAGATCCTGACCAGTGCCGCTCCCCTCAAGGTGGGCCCTGTGGCTGGGACCCCACCAGGCACAGGGGTCACCGGAGGCCTTGGCCAGAACAACGTCCATCTCCTCAACACCAGCGTTGGTGTCGCCGCGCTGCAGCTTCCGGGCACAGCACAAGGTACGTATCTGCCCTGGCTTCCCAGGTGGCTGAGCCTTGTCCAGCCAAAATGGAGGACCTCTCCTGACGTTGTGGGAAGAAGGCTGGGCGTTCTCCGGAAGAATCAACAGTCCAGAATTAGAAGGGGGTTCCTGCAGTGGTGGTATGCTACCGGTTCAGACCGGTTTAGCCGAACCGGTTGTTAAAAAAAACATGGGCAATCAGCTAAGAGGAGAGAGAAGAGAAAGGCGCGGGATCGGCCCTCCAAACCGCTCCTGCGCTTTCCTCTTCTTTCTCTTCTCAGCGGATTGGCGCTGCAGAGCTTCAGCTGGTGTGGGGAAAGCTGCGCGCGTGGGTTAGGCAAAGCACGCCCACCCAGCCACGCCCACCGAACCGGTGGTAAAACAATCTGAATCACCCTACTGGGTTCCTGTTCTGGAAATGGGGGTCCCTGTACCAGTAGAGGAGACTATTTGTAGCTCAGGGTTCGTACTCTCTGAGTTTGGTTGTTTTCAAACAGAGGACGAGTCCAGCCGTGGTCCGGAAGAAATGGAAGCCTGCATAAGCCTGCACGCATGCATGCACACACACACACACACTCCTGGAATCCTTGTGGCGATCCGTTTCTGGACGTCGCAAGAATTCCTCTCTGGTCATCTTGACAAAATCCAGATGGGGTTATTGTGAATTCCTCTGTCGTGCGGTTCCACTTTCTCCACGGTGACACAGTGGTTAGAGTGCGGTACTGCAGGCTACTTCTGCTGACTGCCGGCTGCCTGCAGTTTGGCAGATCGAATCTCACCAGGCTCCAGGTTGACTCAGCCTCCCGCCCGTCCAAGGTGGGTCAAAGGAGGACCCAGATGGTTGGGGGCAAAGAGGCTGACTCTGTAAACCGCTTAAAGAGGGCTGGAAAGCACCGTGAAGCGGTGTATAAGTCTAAGGGCTACTGCTCCAAGCCGCCGTTTCTCCTCCCTTAACTGTTCTCTCCTTCCTTCCCAAGGCCATCTCCTATATCTGGAGAGCGGACAGACACCGGGGTTGAGCGATGGGGAGCCAGAATGCTTGAGATCTTGTCTAAAGTGGGTCCTCTGTTGTCCTTCCGTTCCAGGTAACCTCCTCCTAGCCAACCCAGCCACCGGCAACAGCACCATCGTCACCGGCATGGCTGTACAGCAAGGCAAACTGAACCTCACCGCCACCTTCCCGGCTAGCATGCTGATGACCCTTGTACTCTCCGCTCCGGCAGCCTCTACTTTGACTCTTCCCATCAAACAGGAGGTGGCAGCGGCCACCCCGGCAGTTCTGGGAGCTACCGAAGGCAACGCTGGGTTGCTCGCGGGAGTCCCTTCAGTGCTACCTACCGAAGTCTCCCCTCTTTCGTCCTCCAACAGCGCCGACCCGGCCAGCGTGGCCTTCGGACCAGACCCCGGCCAAGGCGCTCTCCTTTCCAGCTTCTCCCAGCCAGAGACCCTGTCCATGTCCCAGCCGCAGGTAGTGTGGTCCAACCCGGTGAGCATGGACCTTCAGGGGAACAACTCCGGGGGGCTCTTTGCGATGGTGGAGAAAGGGTCAATGGAGGAGCTTCGGCTGCCCGAGGGTGAGGGTCTTTTGCTGGCTGCTGCTGGGGGGGACCCACTCGGTCCCGAAGGTCTGGACTCGGGGGAAAAAGTGCTGACTCAGCTGCAGTCGGTGCCCGTGGAAGAACCTCTGGACCTGTAAGACTCGGGCAGTGGCGGAGTTGTCGCTTTCCGGGCAACCTTCGAACGGAGAATTCGGACCTCACGGTCTTTCCCAGAGTTTGGGAATACTCAAAAGTGCCTCAATTGGAGAAGACGCTTCCCTGCCCATCTTTGCACAGCAACGGTGTCACACTACAAGGGTTCTCTGCAAGGCCCTTCATGCCGACCACAAGAGGCCACCGCTGGTGCGGCCAATGAGGGGGTCCCTTTGTGGTCGTCGGAGTAGCAAACACTACAATCCCGGGCAGTTCTTGGCTTTCGACTGGTTGTTGTTGAAGGATCACAGAAAGTTGACGGGCTTTTGAAAAGCTACTTAGGACTTCTCCTCAAAGTGACGACCACAGCATTTCCCCCTTCCTTGGGGGTCGTGGGAATCGCATTTCGGGTACCTCACAACCGACTCGCGTTTCCAACCGGTTGTGGTGGCCTTATGGTCTTGTGATCGCAATTTGCTGCATTTTTGTAAGTTTCCCGTCATGTTTTTCCAACGTCCATCCAGAGAATGGATTTGCTTAAATGGCCGCGGGGTTTTTCTTTACTTTGGTGACTCCCTTTACGGCTGTTGTAAAAAAAAGTGGTCTTAAATCAAGCCCCATCGCGTGGTGCTTTGATTTATGACTGCAACCACTTACAACTGAAATCCCAGTCGCAATTGTGGCCCTAAGTCAGAGGTCCCCAAACTCAGCAACTTTTAAGACTTGCGGACTTCAACTCTCAGAATTCCCTAGCTAGCATTGCCTGCTTTTTCCTCTCTCTTCATCTCCTAAAGTGGAAAGAGATTGCAGAGGAAGGGATTACAAGAGAGTAAGCTATGCCGGCTGGAGAATTCTGGGAGTTGGAGTCCACAAGTCTTAAAGTGGCCAAGTTTGGGGAGGCCCTGCTTCCATTCCTCATTGTGAAGGTCAAACGTTTCATTCTGTATCTTCTTTCAACTTCCTTTCTACTAGATTCTCCTCTCTATTTCCAAAGTCACACTACATCTTGGGAAGCTGGGAGCGTCCCACTCAGTCGAGGGAAATTTTAGGATATCGAGAAATATTTCCTGTCCTCTCCTCCATGGTGCTAGGGATGATCCCAAAATGGAGAGGCAGGAAAATTATCCAGTTTCCATTTTACTCTCGGGGGGGTGGGGGTGGGATTCGGTGGCATTGAGGACAGCCTGTCATCCCTCAAAAAAAAAAGGCCACCTCTGGAAACAGCTTGGATATGTCTCTATCTGCACACATGCCTTGGTGGTGGAACAGACGTTTCGAATCTGAAGACGAGAGGACTAAGAAAACGTCAGGCTAACCATGACCATCCTATCCATGGACAATGCAAAAATGGTGTGGATCCTGCACAGGTTGGTCCTACAGTTAAATGGTACTTAGATTCTATATACAGAACAAGCTTCTTAAGCCACTATGATGATGTTACTCTTTTGTATTTTCGGACTGACAGCCCAAAGGCAGCTGTCCACCATAGTTACTTTCACCTGCGATGGGTAGAACAGCTTGAGCGATAGAAATAATTCTGCGTTATTGCAAAATGGAGTTCTTCCCCAAGGACCCCAAAATGAATTGCTTCTCTTGGACCACCTTGAAATCCTTAAAGCCAGTGCTGGAAAAAAATGTGCATAAAATCTGTTTCTAAAAGAGGCCTTCTAAAAAACACAATTCCCCCATACTTTGTGTAAATTAAGTGAAGTTCTGCTGCTTGTATGCTTGAGTTTCTATTATGTGGATATAAGGGGGGAAAAAGTGCCATTTTATTAACACTACATTCATGCAACCTTTAGGAAATTTTGCTGAGTGACATGTGAGAATGGATTTTTAAGAACCGAAGCTATGCCAGTTATGAAATGAAGTTGGAATTTACTATAAACTGAAGATGCCACGTATAGCGCGGAGAAAGTCAAGACTTAATGCAGTGTTTTTCAATTTTGGCTACTTTTAAGATGTATGGACTTCGGCTCTCAGAATTCCCTAATGTAGCTGGCTGGGGAATTCTAAAAGTTGGAAGTCCATACATTTTTAAAAGTACCCAAGGTTGAAAAACACTGGCGTAATAGAATAATCTTGCATTAAACATTCCTAATAGGCTACCTGTTTACAGTTCCTTCAGAAATATTAATGCTTTTTTAAGCATTAAAATATGTTCCACATAAGCAAAAATATTTTGTTGTAAAGGCAATTTTTGCAGAGAAAAATTGCAGTTGGAAATCCTGTTTTTTTTTCAAGCTGAAGCAGAAATATTCTTGAGGGAACCTCGGAAAGTTGCCTTTAGTCAATATGGACAGAACTGAACTAAATAAGATAGCCCGGAGCTCTACAGGTAGTCCTTGACTTACAGTGTTGCTTCACGACCATTCACATTTACAACGATCAAGGAACAGTTACTTTGTGGCCTGTAAAAGCACCGTTGTAAATGATGATGCCACCTTTCCCTCGTACCTTTTGGGCACTTGGCAACTGGTTAACCACAATTGGTGACATTTTTTTAAAAAGTTTTCCAGCAAAAAATTCTCATTCAAATGAATGGACTTAGGAGCATCATGTTTGCTTAATGGCAAAAAAAGAGAAAAATGTCATGAAGTCACTTCCAATCATGTGTGCCTCGACTTTACGACCAAATTGCCAGTCCCAGTTTTGGTCCTAAGTTAAGGACTACCTGTCGAGGATAAGGCAGCTTACTTGCACTTTACGACTTGCTAGGGAGGGCAATTTTGCTTCCATCTAATTCTCACTTTACTGACCGAGCTTTCTATTCAGTAGTTTTAACAACAATGCAGAATTATCTAATTTGCAAAGGGTTAAAAAAAAAGAATAAGAAAGAATCAAGATGGCAGCTGCAACTATGCAATGAAAGGCCCGGCTCGTTTATAGGTGTCAAAGGGCGGGACTTTGATCACGGGAGGCCGCTGTCTTCTCCTTTTGGACCTATTCATGCAGACACCTCTGCACGTTTGGCACGGAAGAAAATATGCACGTTGGCCATTTGTGTGCCCACTTCTAAAGGATACACAAGTATTTATGCCCTAGCGAAATACATGTTGTGCCTACTTTTTCTCCAGTCAACACGACCTTGATTGTGTCGTTTTCTCTCCCAAGCTACGTATTTTTTGCAGGGCGCTTTGGAATCGGAAAAAGGCACTACAGTACTTTGAAATGTATATTTTAGACACTTATCCGTTCCAGGTTCTGACCCAAGAGAGTTTTTTTAAAGATAGGTAGTCATCCCTGGACTTACGACTGGAATGGAGCCTGCCCATTACGGTTATGACAGTCATAGAACAGTTCATGTAACCGATCCAATTGTACGACTTTTTTTTTCCTGGGAGTCCTTAAGCAAACCAGTGCTTTGCTAGGGGAGCGGTTTTGCGGAAGTAAATTCCGATTTTCAGCAAAACCATCATAAAATGCAGCCATGGGACCACAGGATGCTGCAAACGGCTATAAATATGTGTTGCCTAGTGCCTGAAATTTGGTCACATGACTGTGGAGCGGGGGGTGACTCCCCAAACTTTGAACTTGGGTTACAAGTAACCCCCAAATAGGGCTGTTCTAACTTTGAACAGTCACTAACTGACCAGTCATAAGTTGAGGACTACCTATTTCTCCATAAACCCTCATGCTAAGAAGTATTGCAATTAGTTCCAGTCCTCCAGGACAAAAATGTGTAACTTGAGTGATTTTTCCCCCCACACCTCCCCCTTTTAAATGCATGCAAACAACATTCTTCCTCTGAATTGTTCAGAATCTGTGAAGGTTTTTTATGGAGTTGAGGTCCACGTGGTTCAGAATATTGTGTTGGGTAAGGTGGGAAACCTCACAATTCATTCTATTGAGAACAATTCTACTAGTACGGTGAAGCAATCGCTGTTTTCCAACACTACTTCCTTCTTGGTTATGCAAATATAGCGTTGTAATTTCTCTAAATGTGCCTTCTCTCCCGTCAGGTACTAAAGAAACAGATCTGTTCCCACCGTTTTGTGAGAAGCAATCATTTCTATAAGATATTTTTATATCTCTCCGGTTTTTTTTACATCTTTTTGTTGTCTTTTATATATATTTTATATATATAAATATATATATATATATATTTTATCCTAAAACTCTTGTCTCTGCGCCTATGTTCGTTCAGTAGGGAATTCAGATTGTACGCTGGTTTATGAAAATTTGTCTCCATAGTTGTGGACTCTTAAGTTGTCGATGTTGAAATCTTCTCAAGTTCGTATGACTACGTTTTCAAATTTGCGCGTTTTCAAGTTTGCATCGGGTAAAGTCACCTGGACCTCTAGACTGCTGGGACTACAAAACCCATGCTGCCTTAGCAGTATAGCTCTTGCTGGCTGGGACTAATGGGTGTTGAAATCTGTGACACCTGGAGCCACTTTTGACCCTGATCCTACAGTTATTGGTGGGTACATATGCTCAGGGTCACCCTCTTGCCTTTTTCGAGATCCCCTCCTGTCTCCTATAAATCATAAAAGATTCGAACAGATGGTCATTCCTACAGCCCTCCAGTGCACGGGGAGCAACCTAGGAGCTTCCTGTGGAAAATGGGCTTGTGAACCTGGGGTGACTTCAACCCCAGAACAAAGCCAGAACAATCCCTCTGGGAAGAAGTAAAGCAATCCAGGTTGGGTCGTGTTACGCAGGTGGCTGTGTAAGTAATACCACCTTGGGTGGAAGGCGGGGGAGGGGGGGGCTTTTCTGATCTTTGAATTGGAAGATAAAACATGGGAGGGGGGCGTGGCTGGAGGGGACCCACACGGAATCTCAGGTGAGGTTAACCCTTTGCGGGGATTAAACCTTTTGCGCTGGTAGGAATGGAGGAAGGAGGAGAGCTTGTTTAAACGCTGGAGGGATGAAAATTGGACGAAAGGAAAAGCAACCAGAAGCCATAGAACAAAACCAGTCAGGTTTATCTATGCGCTTTTGATTTATTCATTAGATCAGCTTTCTTCGACCTTGGCAACTTCACACTCATATATATTCAATGAATATATGGATATATATGGCATATTCAGTATATATTTTATTCAATATTCATCTAAGGTGTGGATTCTGGGGAACTCCTAGAATTTCCCAGCCACAAACAATTCTGAGAGTTGAAGTCCATACATCTGAAAGTTGAGAAAAGCTACGTTAGATTAATATTGAATATAATCTGTCTGTCTGTCTGTCTGTCTGTCTGTCTGTCTATCTATCTATCTATCTATCTATCTATCTATCCTACATTTCAAAAGCATGCTCGCTGGGGAATTCTGCAGTAGTTGAAGTCCACACATTTGAAAGCTGACACGGTTGAGAAATACTCGGTTAGATGAATGAGCCACCTTGCTTGAGGCAGCCTAATTAAAATGCAATCTTAAAAATAATAATAATAATGGAACAAGTTACTATATTTCGCGATTCCTCGTTTTTCAAGGAAAGCCTCATTCTAAAGCAACTCATTCTTCCTGCTTGAAGGATGTGCCGGAAACCGCTATTGAATAAGTACGCCTGCAAGACGTGGTCCCCAAAACATCAACCTCCATCACATCGCTACGGCTACTCTCTCTTGTGGTTTTGATCCACCTGCTCCGGATACTCCGGCCGCTTAAGCATCTTTCAGAAAGATGAACTTCTATGCGCTGGAAATGAGGGAGAAACAAAGTTGCGGCTACTTTTCAAGAAAGGCTGTTGCTTTTTGCTGAATGAGGAAAAGGGAAGCAGGCCATCCAAG